CCTTACTCTAAGGAAGACTTACCATTTTTTAATGCTGCTAACAAAGCAAAGACACTGGCATCCAAAAGGTTTCCATCATAGTCCAGACATATGATATCACAGTATAACACCCAAGCAAGCTATCAAAAAAGGTTTGCACACGTGAGATATCACAGCAGCTAAGCAAATTGTGCAATAGGCAAGAAAATTCTACGCACATTGAATAGAGATACTTATTTCTATCGTGCAATTTTTTTTACACTTCAGATGTAAACCAAGCTATGAAGACTGAAAAGCAAAACAACAAAACAACCTATAACCCCAAATACCTTCTTTAACATCTCATCTTGTTAGTATTCCCCTCTTCATTTTGATATGCAGCTTACCTTGCCATTTGCAATACAGAGATCTTCTTTCACTATCATCTGTGAACTAAAATAACATGAGAGAATAAGCCAGGAAACAGAAAACTGTCTTGCAGAGTTGTCTGTGTTTTAAATGCACTATGATGGTTCTTACTTTTCAATCACATCTGCAATGAACTGGCTCGCTGCTTGAGCCTCTTCACCAGGTGGTCCGGAGCGAAACCTCTCTGAACAGAGGGATGGTAGTTCTACATTTGGTACTAGGTATCAGAAAAGCAGGCAATGGGATAACAAAAATAGATATAAGTCAACAATCACTCGTAATACCATTTTATGTACTTCAAATGCAAGGCAAGACCAAAAATTTTTCAATCAAGCCTCCCTACTCCTTTCAAAACTAAAGTTACGCATGAGTTGGTTTTAAAGAACTTGTAGTACTCTGTATTTAGAAACTATATATTTCATGGTAGAACACATAATCCTAACTATCATTTTCTGTTTATAATCCTGCTATGGCTATCATGACCCCATACAAACTCTTCTTTAAGTGTTAGGCACTCTTCAGTAGATCAAGAAACAGCAGTATTTTCATCCCACTGCCTGACTTGGCTGGTATGCTATCTGTTTTTCATCAGTCATTAAAAACAGAGGCTTTAGACTTGAAGCAAAAACATGCATAAACATTTCTGAAAAAACCCCAAGCTCTCTGAAAGTAACATACTTTGGAGATGCCTTGCAAAAGAGGGATTTGGTCTAACCTCTCAGTTCCGCAGAACTATTTTATTTCCAAAGAAACTTCAAACAGGAGCAGGGAGGTACCCCCAGGACTTTTACAGTTTCCCAAGAAATAAACAGGGTTTATTTCAGTGTTTTTAAGAGTTACATTTTTTGTCTACTGTCTTCAAAACAGAAGTTAACATGCCTTTGCACAACCTTGCATGCCATAATCTTTTATAGATTAACTACCTTCCCTCTCTTAATATACACACTTGCCCCTGCTGCAGGTCTGTTTCCAGCCTGGCCTGGAATCAGCAATAAAAAAGTAGTTTTACATGGAAAACTCACGAGCAGAGGGCATTCTAAAATTTCTGAGGTACCACTGCCTAGATGTCAATTTGGAAATATAATTTTACCAAATCTATTCTTTTAAGAAATCTTCCCAACATAATCTGTCATTACAGCCTCTTAACTGAGGCAATACAAGACCTGAGCAAGATCCACACTCACCAATATACCCTTTATTAGTAGAATCTGCTGCAGGTGCAGCAAGTTCCTGGAGAAACAAAAAAGACAAGATTTTCCAGCTATTCTATATACAACGAGTCATTTTCTTGAAAATTATCATTACAATGAGATTTACAAAAGCCATTTTTAATCAGTCCTTGTCTATAAATTTCCTATGGAAAAACCCAGTACAGGGGCATTCAGTGATTTGGCTCATAGTTCATGGCAGGCCAGCAGTAAAGTTGAGGCTACAAGGCACTTGATAGTCCAGCCAACTAATCCCCAGTGCACTTATTGATCAATATTCAGTAACTTTTCAATTATATAGCTTTTATCTAGAAATAACAAGGAGTTTATATTTGTATACATCTTTTCCCATACACGATGGGTACCACAAAAAATACATGTTCTCAGACTAAACAGGTAGGATTAGGTAATTAAATTCTATATTAACTTCCATGTCTGAAAATAACTCTAGTGAAATACTGTAATTGTGTCTGATTGGCACATTATTGTAACTCTGTGGGTGATTCATTCTAAACACCGATGCACAAATTCTGCTAACACATAAATTAAAATAAAACCAACCATACCGCTTTCACTCCACAAATCACCGTGGTATTTCCTAATTTCACCAGGGCAGAACCATCTGCAGTTGTAATTGAACCTGAAGAGAAAAAGTACTGTTCAATAAAATCTATTTTTCATTCAGAGAGCATTAATTAACATCCCCCTTCACAAAGTGTTAACTTTCCATCATTTTATACTAAACAGAGGATAAGCAACGTCTCAAATCCAGAGTGGGACAGAATCTCTATATTAAACCACCACACAAAATGGTTGAGGCTCGGACAGCTGGAGCTCATCTGGTTCAACATCCCTACTCAAGAAGGGCCACCTAGAGCTGGTTGCCCAGAACTGTACCCAGATGGCTTTTGATTATCTCCAAGGAAGGAGACTCCACAACTTCCCTGGCCAACCTGTGCCAGTGCTTCATCACTCTCACAGTAAAGAAGTGTTTCATCATGTTCAGAGGGAACATCCTGTGTTTCAGCTTGTGCCCATTGACTCATGTTCTGTTACTGGGCACTAATGAATAGAACTTGGCTTTGTCTTTCCCACACCCTCCCTTCAGGTATTTATATACATTGCCCACCATTGGACACAACACTCCAGGTGTGGCCTCACCAGTGCTGAGCAGAGAGCAGGATCACGTTCCTTAACTGCTGGCAATGCTGTGCCTAATGCAGCCCCGGACAACATTAGCTTCTTTGCAGCAAGGGCACATTGCTGGCTCATTTTGCCTCTGCTTGAGGCAGGTGCCCACCAAGCTCAGAACACAGCAGAAGCCAGGACTCAGTGTCCCTCCCAAGATGCTCAGGCATCAATTTTGTGCTGGTCAGTGTATGCCTTGTTGCTGCCTTCAGCATCTATAACATATGCTGCTGACCTTAGACAGAGACAAGATTCCACAACCACCTAAATTGTGCTGCACGTACCTGGACAGGAGCAGACCTGAGTAATTACACTGTGCACATTAGCCCAGGATCAGGACTGAAAACAATGTTAAAGTATATTACTGTGCCATGTGCTCTCTTTCATGCTTACTGAAATGGTAAACAAAAATCCTTTCTCTTCCTTGTTTCAAAGTAAGAACCAAGAAAACAGATTAGCAAGTCATTAAGGTCACTATTATAACCTGATATTAATAATACCTCCCCCATTATTATTATTATTATTCCAAATAAGCACTTGCCTATGTTGACAGTGGTTGCTCGGAATTCACCTAACTCCCTTCCATCAGGTCGACAGTTCTCTTTCTAAACAAAAATTACAAAGTTCAAATTAGAAAACACACTTTATTAAATAATACAGTAATATCTATGCTATAGAAGTTGATATAAAATAATATTCTCTTCTTTTTAGCAGAAATATACAGTCTCAAAAATGCTAGTAAAAACTTAGTCACACTCTAGTTGGTTTTTCATCAATTGATATGTAGTTTGTGGTTCTAGGCCTGCAAAAAAATCCCTGATTTTTAAAATTTATTATAATTTATTTAGAAAATATAACAATAAATTGATTGTCTCAAAGGTAAGTATTACAGGCTAGATTCAGAACATCATCCATGAATGAATACTCGTTGGTAACTTAAAATGAGAGTTTCCACCTGTCTGCACTGCTAAGGTTTTGTAGGCAATTCCCCTTCTCCATCCCCACCTAGTGGAGCTCTAAAGAGAGTGAACTAAAGCAAAACAACCCCCAAAAAAACCATAACATTCAAATACCACCAGGCAGAAACTGCACAGTACAAGACCCTTAGGTTAGAAATTGAACAATATTCCATCGCGTTAGATCTGAAGAACCACAAGAAAGAAAAAATTCATTACAGGCAATTTATACAGGCATCTCATGTTTTACTCACCAAAAACCTTCTGTAATATTCCAATGGTTCCACAGTTCTAAAACAAATAGAAAGAGACGTTCACATGCAAGCTCTTGAGTAGGCAAGAGATAGCAAAAAAAAAAAGATAAGCAAGCACTAACGCACAACAACAAATAACTGGAGAATCAAGATGCCTAGCAGTATGGCAAAGCAAATGCTAAGCAAAGCTGCTTAGCAATATGGTTATGGAAAGATGAGAAAACTCTGAACTGATCTGTTTTCCTACATTCCGCTTGAAAATGCTCCCTCCTTACAAGGAACCTGTCTGCACATATACCTAACAAAAACTACTAGCTTTCACCTCAATAATATCAGTTATAAATCGACAGAAGTCTTTACTGAACAGACGGCTGTAGAATGGTTTTCAAGAAACGCAGAAAGTATAATTTTATAACTGTGTCTGAAATATCTGTTAGTTCAAGGACCGCATTCAGATGTACAGAATGATATAAAACAATTTTAAATGCTACAATTTTTCTTAGAACCTTTGAGAAAATATAAAATTACAAAATATGCTTCATGCAGTGCTTCAGGTGAGAAATAATTAACGCTCATTACTAATTACATACTACTATCAGTGTTAGTGTATTAGTATTTTAAGCAAGGATCATTAATGCAAAAAACAACCCCATCTTTTTTTTATAAAAGTATTCTTAATACTTAAACAAAGCAGTCACAGTTTTGTTAATATAGTGCTTCTGAAGGAAAAATCAGAAAAAGATAAATGGGAAAAGCAAGTTTTCCAAATGCAAACTAACATAAAGAGATATCACAAACATAATGGCAAACATCAATTAGCTCCTGTTGGCTCCAAATATATTGGTCCTGTACTACTGGTTCTCTGAAGCCCAACAAAATGCCTGTTCTCTTCCAATTCATGTAAAAGCACTTGCTAAACATTGTTTTGCACACTTAAGACATAAATACAGAAGCAAGAACACTAGAACAGGCTGCCCAGAGAAGCTGTGGATGCTCCATCCGTGGAAGAGTTCAAGGTCGGGTTGGATAGGGCTCTGAGCAATCTGGTCTAGTGGCAGGTGTCCCTGCCCACGGCAGGGGGGTTGGAATCAGATGATCTTTGAAGATTCCCTCTGACCCAAACCATTCTATTATTCTAAAACGAGTAGTTATAAATGAGAAGCCACTGAATTCCCTACAGTTTTAAACTCCTTGTAATGCTGTCAGCTGTGTCAAGAGAGGTTTAGGGTGGATATGAGGAAAAGGTTTTTCACCCAGAGAGTGGTTAGGTGCTGGAAGACGTTTCCCAGGGAAGTGGCCACAGCACCAAGCCTGACAGAGTCCAAGAAGGTTTGGACAACGCTCTCAGGCACGTGGTGTGACTCTTAGGTGTCCTGTGTAGGGCCAGGACTTAGACTCGGTGATTCCTGTGGATCCAACTCGGGATACTCTGCGATTCTGTGACACCAGGTAGCTCCGGGCCACATTGAGCGTCGCACTTTGCCAGGCCTTTTCCCGGCTGGACACTCCTTGCTCGCTCAGCCCCCTCGCACACACCGGGGCCCCGCAGCCCCCTCAACACCGACCCCATCCCGGGGGGCCGCGCAGAGCCCGCTCCCCTCGCGCGCGCAGTGCCGCCGCGGTGGCGCGGAGGGTCCCCAGCGGCCCCGCGGGACCCGGGCGGCGCTGCCGCGATCCTCGCGCGCGGGCGGGACCCCGGAGCGGGACTTGGTGGGACCGCGGCCGCCAGGCCCTGCACTTACCTGAACGCGGCCGCCATGGCGGCACCGCCACCGCCCCGGATGTGGCGCCCCCTGGCGGTCGGCCCGCCCGGCAGGCTCTGCGGGCGGACCGGCCTTGGCGGCGGCGGTCGAGCCAGCGGCGCTGGCGGGGCACGGCCGCGAGGGGGCGTCGGCGGCTTCCGGCGGCAGCGGCGGGCGGTGCGGCCGCATCCGCCTCGCTGCTGCCGCGCGACCGGTCCCCGCGCGCCGCCGCGGGGGGCAATGGCGCCGCCGCTGTCTCTGCCCTTGTCCCTGTCCCTGTCCTTATCCCTGCCCGCGGCGGCGCTGGCGACCCTCGCCACCCTCCTGCTCGTCCTGGTGAGAGCTGCGCACCGCGGTCACGGCAGGCCCGGGGGGCTCCGTGGCGGGGGCGGTGCGCGGGGCCGCCCCGTGCCCGCCCCCGCGATGCGGAGCGGGGGCACTGCCCGCGGGTCGCGGCCCTGCCAGGGGCTCCCGGGGGGCTGCGGCGGGCCCGGGCAGGGCTGGCCCTGGAGCAGCAGGTGCCACCTGGAGCCGTGCGGGCAGCAGCCGGCGGGGCTGCGCTGGTGCGGGGGTTGGTGCCGGCAAGGCGTCCGGGGAGCTGCCGAGGGGATAAAGACGCCTTGGGAAATGTCCTGGTAACGCCCGTTCGCGGTAACAATTTGGGAAATCGCTGTGTCTCTGCGTGGCTGAAATACCCTGCAAGTTGCAGAAATTGGACACCCTGGAAGGTGGAATTCTGCTGCCTGTCCGCAGTGCCACGTATGCCTCCTGCCCGGGGAGGTGGTGGAATCCTCCTGTCCACATATGCCTCCTGTCCCTGGAGGTGTTTCCTGGACGTGGCACTCAGTGCCATGGTGTAGTTGACATGGTGGTGTTCAGTTGTAGGTTGGACTCGATGATCTCAGAGGTCTTTTCCAACCTAATTGATTCTGTGATTCTGTATGTGGTGTTACCAAATAAAGTGCTCCAAACCCCAAGTTCCATGGCTTTATTTTAGCTATTCGTAAGGTGATCAGAGCCTCTGTTTTGCAAGCACATGGCTGGCTGGTCATGAGCCAAGGCCTTGATTTCAGTGGCACAGGGTGGGATCAGGGGCCGCACCAGTTTGTGTGCTCGGGATTACCTGGGGAAGGGGCTGTGTGCGCTTGGACCACAACTTTGGAGGCATCTGCATGCTTTGCAGTCAAAAATAGTAACAAGCCCATGATGCTGACAGTGGTCAGACTAGGAGTAACCAAATGACATGAGAGGATTTTAGTCCTGTGGGATTCAATCAGTGGATCGAGTTCCACAGCATTGACCCACCTCATTGAAATACATTTGGTTGCCCTTTGTAGCACATTCAACAGCTAGGTCAACTTCTAATAGAATGCTCAACAACTTCTTATTTCTTTTTCATCATAGATTTGTGCAATAGCTTACGTAACTCCCAAAAAAATGCCAACCCTTCACCGACGCAAAGAAGAGAAATTCTTCGTAAGCGCTGAAGGCAGGAAAGAACCTGTACGAAGTATACATGATCCCCCTACAAGGGAACTCTGTTGTGATGCCTTCATATGATGACGAAGACTGGTGTAAGATTTTTCTTGTTTTGAGGAAAAGAAGAAAATCTATCTGTTGTTACTGTAATAATGCAGAGGTCAGCTATGTTTGGGGTAGATTCTGACAGGCCAGATTATGTATCAGATTTTGGACACAATTTCCAGAAAACAGTCCAATTACATTGAATTTCAAAATTAAGTCATTGTATAACTTGATTTCTGCTGCAAAAAATAGCATGGGGCACTTTAACTACGAGTCCTCTATTTTAATGAACCCCAGAAGAATGGTTGTTCATTGCTCCTGTAAATGCTGCAAGGCAAGAAGTAAAAAAAAAAGACTTTTAAAACTGATTTGAGAGCTTTCCACCCTTTAAACAGCAGCAGCTTCAGACGAGCAGAAAAAAGGATGATCTCACAGGTTTGTGTTTGACTTGGCCATAGATATGAGTACCTGATACTGAGTGAAGGCTTTCAGATGTGATAGAAATAATCAAACATGGTAGTACACAAGCTGTCAGCTTGCTTAAGTAGATAAAGTCAGTGCTGGTTTTCAAGGTCAGTCATGAAGAATGATTTCTTTTTCTTTTAACCTTGTGTAGAGAATTACAAATTTCAAAATGAAAAATCGGTTTTCCTCAGAAGAAATATTTTTATCATGTCTTTTATCATGTGCATGATTTTCTTCAGTGTTCTTTTTGCAGTCAGAAAGGACAGAACTTCGAGTTGCAGCTACTAAGCTTGTTTGCTGAAGGTAGTGTCGTACGAAAGAGTCGATTTGCTCAGCTTTGCTTTGTGGTTGTTTACAGCTTGCTTGTGCAAGTGCTTTTGGTGCTTTGCCTCTTATAATCTACTAACCTGATGTTACGACCCGCCCCAGGAAAAGGGGAAGGGGGATAACTCAGGTTTTTATCAATAATTCCCTTGGGGTGGATTAAAGTGAAACGACACTAAATAACCGGTGTCTGAAAACAAAGTTTATTTTAACAATCTTGTATCAACAAGCATGCTAACAGTTTGGGTGTTGTCATAAAACAATGCAGCACAGAGATAACCTTTTTTTGGGGGGGGGGAGAAACTGTTTAGGGGAGAGAAAAGCCAGGATGAGAGTAAGGGAAAAGAGAAGCTGAGAGTACAAAAGAAATGGACACGGTCACCGCGATGCTCGAGAGCGATGGTCTTGATTCCCAGGCGGTGGGGGAGAAGGAGGGAAGCCCCCATACTCCAAGAAGTTATGAGTTATATCTGTGGTTAGTGTCACGGGCCATGCCTCGAGCCTCCAACATCTCCTAGGTCTGTGCTGAGTTTTTTTGTGTCTCGCCTGGTTCCCGCCTTTCAAGATTAGCAGAGGGAGGGAGGGGCCTGATTGCTCATCAGATGTATCAACAGTCAAAAGCCTGCAAGCTCAGCTCTTGCCTTTTCCGGACTTCACACCTTCAGCACTGGAGGGAGGGAGGGGCTCGACTGCTCATCAGAGGTATCATGCAAGTCAAAAGCTTGCAAAAGTCTCCTAGAATGCATAAATCATTAACCATTTCAGTCTCTGACACCACCCCATGATTTATGCATTCAATAATTTCTCTTCTTTTGTTGTTCACTGTGAATCTTTGTGGGCGGTGCTTTTCGTATAGTGGACAGGAAGACAGAAGAGTGAAGGAAAGGAAGAGATTGCCCCAATGCACTGCAATTCTCCCCCCCTTCAAACAAAAAAAACCCCATAATAACATAGTAAGCTAATGTGCATTAGTTACTCTCTCCACCCCGTGAGTAGTCATAGGGGATGTAATAGGATCTCAATGGCTACAATCAAATTTCTTAACATTAATGAGGTTACAAACATACACACAAATATTTGAAATTATACATCAAAAAAAAAAAACAAACCACTGAGTTACTTGGGAGCTGGTAGAAGGCTTTTTTATGTTTTCTTTTAGGCCTAAATTTAGTTTTGTTTGTTAAATTTAACCAAATAGGAAATTCAATGCCTTTCAAGGCAGAAGGCTAATGTATATAATGCATATTTATATGACTCTAAATATGCATAAATACTTGTACTAACTCCCAGGTTATATTTGGTTGAGTTTCTCAATCGAGAGAGATATTTAAAAAGACAAAATGAACTTGACAAAAATCAAATTAACAGTACATCTTATACAATTTTACCAGTAAGTTGCTCATATAAAAGGAAAAACCACACAAACAAGTTAACAATTATTAACAACTTATTAATATAAGCAATTTTGGGAGTAGGGGAACACAAACACAATATTTGTGGTAGGTTTTTACATATTGCAAAATTATTAAGATCATAACATTTTTAAGGTAAAACACATGCAAACAACCAATGTGGCAAAACAACAACAACAGCATAACTCTTCAGTCTTGTTGCTACTTCATGTTCTCATGTTTCATGCAGTTTGATTTCATCTGCTGGCAGGTTCCTGCGGAAAAAAAAGAAATCTGGCCCACTATGGACCCATTATTAAAAAGAAGGAACTATCTATTTATCCAACTCCTTTTCTTATCTGGCATAATGTCACTAGGCAGTAATAATAGAGAAGTTTGGAACATGTTTTCTCCAAAAAACAAATAAACTCAGAGCATGCTGGAGTTCCTTTTTACTTCTCAGCATCTTTATTTGCTCTGGGGTGGCCAAGGTGTCAGGGGGAAAACACACTGTTACTTTTTCTGTGGGAATCTGAAGTCTCAGATTTTCTAAGTGGGTGATAGTACTTGTCTGAGTCTGGTCCCCTGTGGTGACATCAGCAATCTGGGCAATCAGTTCAGCTTTGTTATGTACAGCAGCTATTTGTGAGCCAGTGTCAGCATCCAGGTAACTCACTGGCAGCTGCCACTGCCCATTAGGTTTAAGGACAGACCATACTGTCCATGGTGAGTGTATAGGGACAACTACTCCTTGCTCCTGCAATTCTGCAATTTCTGGGGTAATGTTTTCACGTGTTCCTAAAGGGAGTGGGTGGGGGTTTACATTTGTTATTTTAGAAGGAGGCAGACTTGGAGCAGTTTGCAACAGACGGACAGAAGGGGATGGGAGACCAAACACCCATTCTCTCCCTCTGGCGTCTGTCCAGGCCTTCCCCTTTAGTAGATCTAACCCCAGGATGTTAGCTGGTAGTGGCCCCACAATCATGATCGTTTCTGTGGCTGTCTCATCTCCAGGTAACCAGCAGGTATTTTCTTTTTGCATTCAAAATTCATTATTTTTTGGTGTATTATGTATAATAATGTATAATAAGCAGTCATCTAGTTACTTTGTTATGTTAGTGTATATTAAACGGTAATACTTGGCTACTTAGAAGTAACACTTTGGTCTCTTATCAGTTATTTTTAGATCAAATGCAAAAAAGTATTTTTAAATTAAGTAAAAATTTAATATACTGCTATGCAATGAAAAAATCTTCATGTGAATGTTATCTTTCCAAGACAAAGCTAAAGATTAGCCATACATTTAACTTTCTAAACTAAATCCTAGTTTGTTCCAACAAGTTCTTAAGTATCTGTTCTTCATTATGATTTGTTCTCTGGGTAAGAAGCCCATTGTGAGTTTGTGGATTTGTTCTATTTGGGTTTTCTCAACAATGATAATGTTCTGAGTGTTCATCTTTTACAATTGAATTGATTTTTCAGTTCTGGATGGTATCATGACGACCCAGTGTAATGGTACGTTCATCAAGTATGGCAAAATTCTTTAATTATGCCATGTTAACAAATTTACTATATCATATTAGTGTCCATTGGCAACCATGAATGATTTAAAACCTGCTGGAGAGAAAAGAATAATGATGTTTGAAAGACCTACTGCCTACTTATGAAATTGGATTAAATATATTATTTCTGCTTTTATTTTCAAGAAGCGAGACTTATGAAGTCATAGTGGCTAATGATGGCAGTAAAGATCAAACTACAAAGGTAAGAAAAACAATTGTCTTCCCAAGCAATCAGAGGTGTGGGGTTTTGTACTACGTTTGTGGAATGTAACAGTTTTTTGCATTTATATTTTGGTACTTGAAATAGTTGACAACTGAAGTTCATATTTCTGAATGCTTTTTGTCATTGTTCTTTATGCATCATGGATGTCACGTATGCACACGAATACACATATAATTCTTTTGCAATTTCTAGTTTTCTTGGTTGGCAAGTGTGACAGCCATTTTCCTGCAGCTGAGATTCTCAGAATTCTAATCCTAACTTCAAGAAATTTCTTATGAAATACTCTATGTATGCATAGTGATGATGTGAATATGAACTTGAGGAAGCTAAAAAGTCTTTTAAAATACCGAATTCATACTGTGATTGACAGAACATCTGACATAGTTCTTCACACTCTTCATGGCATTGTTTATTTAAAAATCCCTGTGTCAGTAGTAGTATTTTCAAAACAGTTCTGTATTCTTCTGGTTCAACTTTGATGTATGTCACTGGAAAGGAAGGCTCGCTAACTTGAGGGCTTTTTTTACTACTGCTTGGAAGATGTTTGAGGTAGCTACTAAAATGCATACTGCTTTCTGATTTACTTTCCTTAAGCTTGTCCATTAAGGATTGCTCGTAAATATTTTTGACTACTGTACATTCCTTCTGGCATCTCTTTTAACTGAGCATACAACGGCTGCAGGCCTCTGGACTTAGAAGCACTCAAGACAACCTTTAGAAAAAATTAAGATGAGAAAACTCATGCTTTCTCTTCCTCACAGCATGGAACAAAATCTGCAGATCTTTGCAGTGTGAATGGGATTTTAGATCAATGCAAATTTTTCTTTAAAACCACAAACAGCAGCAAGACAAGTGATAAATAGGTGACTGTAGTAGAAAATTATATTTCTTTTATTAACTATTGGTGTTAATACAAAAGGTCTGTAATAGTATAAGTTAAATTAGGTTTGAGGTTTTTGGAGGTGGGAGGATGGGGTTTGGAGTATCCTGTTCTTTTGAACATGACTAGTTTCTTCAGTCTTCTTGTTTTGACTGTGAACTAGTTTTTATTTTCCCGAACAGACTCCAGCGAACACTGGCAATGTATTTGTGCTGACTGAAGTGGTTATACCTCTGTACTGTTAATTTATTTTGTTTTAAAAGATGAGCAAATGTAAACTTCTACCTTGATTCCTGGGTTTGTTTTATGGTGGTTTTTTGTGCGTCTGTCAGGTTGCAATGGAGTACTGCAAGAAATATGGAAGTGACAAAGTGTAAGTGCTTTCTTCAGTAAAAAATCAAGGGAAAGGAGAAGCAGTCAGCATGGTAATAGATACTTTCATCTCCTTCTCTGTTTGAACCACCAAATATACAGAAAATAAACTTGTGCTGATTGACATTTTGAATTCAATGCATTAACAAAATGATTATGAGAAAACTGAGTACAGATTCTATAAATTAAAGCAAAACCTGTTTTTCAAAATAAGCTTATTTGAGATCTTGGAAACAGTATTTTCTTGCCAGGAAGATCAATAATGAAGACATTTTTTTGTATGAGATTTCAATGGGTAAAAAAACCCTTGAATTTCATATTCATGTTAGTTCCACTTAGAAATAGACTTGTGTTTATAAAAGCCAACCAAAAAAAAAACCAACTAAACTGTTACAGATTAAAGTTAAGTTTTTGCAGACAAAATACAGCCAAATTTGCAAACTTTGTTCTTCAGGTCATAGATGTGTTTTTTAAAATGGCTAATAAAGAAGCATTCTCATCCAGCAAAGTTTGTTTTTACTGAAGCCCACTGTCATCACCCACACTCGATAGCAGAAACAGCACAATTTATGGTTTCACATAGACATTATCCTGAAATCATGTTGTCCTAAAAATAAAACAGCTGTTAGACATTTTGAAGGAATCTTTTTTCCTAAGATGAATAACACTTTACTTTTATGAAAAAAGGTAGTATCATCTGTGAGTTATCAGTGACTTGTCTTTATCTGTATTTTATGCTCTATCTTTAATGTGTCAATTTTATTTTTTTTATGAAAAATGAGTAAATATAGGAAATGGAGAGAACATTATATTAGAACATATGGGACTTTTGTAAGGTATATACTTCTGAAGTTATTTCAAGAGAAGGAGAAAATTCTCTGTGTGATAACCTTTTGCAGTGCAGAGTGTAGAGTGGATGTGTATACAACTACTTCCTTGACAGGGTTTTCCAAACTCACACATGCTTGGTTGTGACAGTACTTCAGTCAAACCCACTGCTAATTGTTTTCCTGTCTGGACCCCTTCAAAAATTGTGAAATTTTTCTGACCAAGAATATGGGAAAACAAGCTGTGAGACCTGTGCATCACAAACGTTTTGCAGTGAAACTGTGACTTAAGACTGAAACTTAAATTAGTTTTGAGAAATAGCTCTTGAATTCTCTTGAAACAGTGTTGGGAAAAACTACCTCTGCATCCTTCTTTCCATAGCTGAAATGACAAAGAAAAGCCATTCAGTGCAGTGGCAGCTGCTAATCACTGCTTCTTGTGCTCCCTTCTACAGCTGACTGTAGCAACTTGTTGACTTTTAGATTTTGGTTTGTGAAGCTTTTAGTTTGGAACCTTCTCTTCAGAGGGATTGTTAGCCTTTTGTGTTCATGCATTGTGTGTCACTGTGGGACACCACACAGTGTGTAAAGTCTCTAGATGTTATTATAAGTTGGTAAATTGTGGTTAGTAGCAGAATATTAAGACTCCCTTGTGTTGAATCTGTGAGATATCACTGTTCTTGTTACTACATTAGGTTTTTGGAGTCTTTTGCATCTAGCTTATGACAAATAGTGATTTCAAAACTGTTGATTTTTATTGACTATTTTCATTGGAGGGTGTCTTTAGTTCTCGGGGGAAAAAAATTCTTATGGCTGATGCAGATGGAGCTACAAAATTTGCAGATATTGAAAAAGTAGAAGAAGGTCTAAAACATCTCCAGCCATGGCCTGTGAGTATAAATTCTCATGGCTTTAGTTTAATACACATGCACAGAGATTGACCTTTGTAATTCTCTTCAACTTTTTTGAAATCCAGCTGAAGATGTAGGTGTAACTCTGAAGACCTAGGTGTAAGCTTAGAAGCCTCAAGAATGGGCAGTCAGAAAGAGCTTCCACAGAGTTCTTAACTGCTTTGCATCCAGTGGGCCTACTTCAATACAGTACAGAATGCTCTATTTATCCTTCCTTTAACTTCTTTGAAGTTGTTCTATTCTGTGTAAATACCATGTGTTGCCTACTTAGTTTTCTTTGTTAACTGTTTTGTATTTTCATTTTATCTGATGTCATCCTATATACCTTTAAGGATGCATCTTAATTTCACCTTCTTTTAAAGAGGTTTTCTTTTCTCAGGGTCCTTAGTTAAATGACAGTGTTTGGAAGAACTTTTATTGTAAATAAAAATTCAAAAACCTGTAGAACAAGAACACCTCCCTGGATAGTCATTCTTTTTTGAGAGCTTGACTTGAAAGAACTGAGGTTTATTTTCTGCTTAAACACATATGAGTGAGGTACTTGTAGCTAGTTTCCCAGAGTGCCAGAAGTGATGTGCAAGCTTCCAGCCAGAGCTGCAAGGGATGTGCCTGTGAATTCAGAAGCACAAGTACAGGAGCCAACAGGCAGCAGTGTGACCCTGATGCTTTTTCCTACGGGGGCAGCAGCAGCTGTAGATTTGAGAGATTTTATGTGAGAAATAGTAGCACGAGAACAATGCTAAACCTTCCATTTTTGTTGCATTTATTTAATTTGAAGTTATGTGTTTTTCTAACACCATGGCATTTTATTTGTTTGAAGGTACATCAGTGCAACAAGTACTTCATTCTGTTCCCCTTCCATTGCACAATATTTAAGGAAAACATTCAGTTCCTAGGAATGCTGCATGCTTATCTGTGCTGTTAAACATATATACTGTATTCATACAGTAAACAGTGTAAGCTAAACCAAACCTGAATAAATTGAAGTAATTTGTATGCACCGTATGCAAACTGTAATAAACTTTAGATTATCTGTAAACTGTAGAAAAGACTGATTTAGGCTCAGAATTTAGCAGTAGAAGAAGTGCAGCTAGAAGAAACAGAAGAGTATAGTACTTTGAAGTTTTTATATGGTTCTCAATATAAGATTCCACTGATTCTGAAATACTAGTTTAAGTAATAACTTTTTAATTTATATTCCTATACAGAACCAAATGGCTATTTCCTGTGGTTCTAGAGCTTATCTGCTCTACAGATTTTGCAATTAAAGAATCAATATTTGTAAAAGAATGGAAGCTAAAAATAAGGAAAAGATTGTCATAAGTGTAGATTGTGGTCCATCATATACAGAGGATGTGTTCTGGATTTCAGGCACTTTGTACTTGTTTCAGTCAGTGTTCCAATTTATGGATTTAATTTTTTGAGTTGAGAACATGTCACGAACAGAGCCTCTAAACCCTGATAAAATTCGTAAATAGTAACCAGTACTGGGGCTAGAGTGGAAGGAAAATGAGTTCATTTATTACTGATTCCCTTGCAGTGCAAGAGCTTGACCTGCAGATCTTGAAACCTGTTTAAAGTGATTTAAGGATAATTAACAGCCAACTGTTTAAAGAGTATCTCAATTCTTGGTAAAGTGGTGTAATTTTTCTGTATTATTCATTGTAAAATTTGTGAGTTTTGAACACACAGACAGTACTGTTCTGTGTGTGGCTCTTGTGGAATAAACAGTGATGCATAGGCGCATGACCTTATCTTGCATCTGGTTTTCTGATGTCTTGGCAGAGAGTAGTTGACAAAGTACAGGCATGGGACTTGTATTGCAACAGACACGTTGCTGGGCTCATTTTTTCAGCATCATTGGATGTGCTCATCATGTTGAATGTTTTCATGAGTAAGCTTTGTTTATACTGATGCTTAATACTTGAAATAATTCTAAAATATATACACAACTACTAAAATAGTTACAAAAGTTCAAAGCAAGATACA